CGCGATGACAGCCAGCGGATAATCCAGCTTCTCAGTACCTCCTTTGATTGAATATTGCAGTTGGCTTTGGTGCTGTAAAACTCGCGACTTGTCCAGGTTTGGGTAGTTCTCAAGCACGAATAAGGAGTCAAATAATCCGTGCTTCAAGTCGTTTTTGCGTAGATGGCCTAGTTCCGCATTGCCGCGGCTGTTCATCGCGTTTACCTTAGCCTGCACATCCTCGATGGCCTCCATGATAGTCTTGTCCTTGTATGCTGAATGATCGATTACCAACGGCAGCGTATTGATATAAAGCCCAACGGATCGTTCAATTCCACTAATAGGCAGGTTTCTTCCAGAGATGGTCGTGCCGGTGATGGTATGGCTGCCGCCTCCATAAGCGTGAAGCACGGCGTGCCAAACAAACTGGAGGATCGAATGTAGGGTAATGCCTTGGGCAGAGCAGGCCTGACGGAGTTCTCCTAGCCATGCATCTCCGGAGAGGGTCATTGTCAGCTGTCTCTGGTCCTGTACCTGGTCATAGTCCGCTAGTTGAACTTTGTAGCGACTACGCTCGTTCAACAAGGCATTCATATCGCACCGCTCAGCGATTCTCTCAACCACCTCAGCCCAATAATCCAGGTGATCTCCACGGTGTGCTTGGAGATAACGTTGTGTGCGAGCGTAAGGGTCATCCGCGGGCGGGGCGATATTGTTCCCATGGAGCAGTTGCAGGTAAGTATCATGGACCATCTCGAAGAGAAGCGGCAGACTCCAACCATCAAGGATTGCGTGGTGGCAGCTGAAGAGACATGTGAAACGAGTCTCGCTGTGTTGTATCAAATAGATGCGGAACAACCTACCGGCATCTAGTTTGTAGGGCTCCTCGCGGTCCTGGCGCTGCAAGTCGGCCAATTTCTGATCCTCGACAGCGCCCGCAGGCACGTTGGCAAAGCAGATGAAACGCCAATCCAGCAGTTGCTCCTTGTCGATCACCTGTAAGACTTCCTTTCCCCACTCGAATCGAAGCCTCAATGCCGGATAGACCTGTTGTGTGTGTTTCCAGGCCCTCTGGAACAGATCTGGGGATAATGTGATATTATATCGCAGGACGGACTGCATTATGTAGGCATCTGATTGTTCCATGTTTTTAAGGTAATGATAGACAAACCCCTGCTGAAGACTGTTTGCCATATATACCTCATTGGTTGCTGCATCTATCTCCAGTGGCCCTGACTGCACAGCAGACTCGCTCTCATAGCGCCCATCGGATGCCTCCTGCTGTTTGCTCTGCAGAAGATGTGACATGCGCTCCAGTGTCCTTGTTGCGAAGACGTCCTCGACAGAGATGCTTACCGAGAGTCGCTCTCGGATGCGTGCAATGAGTTGAATGCAGGTGATGCTGTGTCCTCCAAGACGGAAGAAGTTGTCGTTGCGAGAGATCGATCCGTGGCGGGCTTCCAGTACGTCGACCCAGATTTGCCCGAGGGCAAATTCCATGTCGCCTCGGAGATCAGAACGGACCTCAGAGGATTTTGAGATATCGACGGCTGGCAGAGCGCGCAGGTCCGCCTTTCCGTTCACGTTCACGGGGATCTGCGACAACTGCACCAGCCGCGTCGGGATCATGTATCGAGGCAGTTTCTTCTCCAAAAAAGACAACAAGTCTGTCTCGGATACCAAGGCGTTGTCGCAGACATAGTAACCCACGAGGTGCTCGTTCGTGGTCTCCTCAGTACCTTTCTGGAGCTTCTTGGACACCACCAAACTAGTCCGGACGCCGGGATACTGAGCCAACGTCGCCTCAATCTCGCCGGGCTCAATTCGGATGCCTCGCAACTTGATCTGGAAGTCTGCGCGTCCCAAATATTCAACTTCACCGTTCGGAAGCCAGCGAGCCAGGTCGCCGGTCTTGTACATTAAGCTGTTAACTCCGAGTTGCTTCTCACGCTTCGTCTGGAAGGGGTTGGGGATGAACCGTGTCGGCGTAAGATCAGGACGGTTGAGGTATCCCTTTGAAATACCCAACCCTCCAATGTGCAACTCGCCTGTGGCCCCAATGGGAACACGCTTGAGGGCAGGATTGAGGATGTAGCACTTGACGTTGCGCACAGGTCTTCCCAGACTGGTGTCTTTGCGAGTCGAGTCGGACTCAAAGATCTTGAGGGCTGTTACGAAGGCGGACTCGGTGAATCCATACTCGTTAAGGATGCGGTTCTTAAATCGCTTGCGCAGGGCCAGGTACCGCGCTTCTGTTAGGTTTTCACCCACCAGAATCATTCGCTTCAGGGACGGGCAGTAGGAGAAGTCGTATTCTTGTAGGACAGAGGCAGTGCCATTGAGGTAGGTGATATTGTGTCTGCGAATGAAGGGAAGGATTTTGTCCGCGTCATATTTTTCCGCGTCATTGATAATGGCCAGGAGATGGCCGTTTACTAGTGCCATGAGCATTTGGCGAACGAATGGCTCGAAAACGTAGGCCGAGAAGAGCAGAATCGCTTCGTGGTGTTGCCCGGTCACCCCATAACGGGCAGACAGGTCAGTGATACTGTTGACCACGTTCGTGTGCTGTTTAAAGATACCCTTCGGGAACCCTGTAGTTCCGGACGTGTATGTCACGTAGGCAAGTTGCCTGCTTGTGAGAGGTAGGTCATCCAAGTTGTGCGCTGGGAATTTCGAGGTATCCTGAGCCAGGAATGTGAGCAATGGCTCCAGATGAATAATGCAGAGTTTCCTGTCGCCGACGATCTGTCGCTCAAGCCTTTCGGCGTGCCGATTACTGGCGATGATGACCTGTGCCTCGGTGTCATCCAGCACGAATCGGACTCGCTCATCTGGATACGTCGGGTCAATAGGCACATAGGCCGCGCCAGATTTCCACACACCCAGAATGGTAACAATGAGCATTTCACTCTTATCGAGAAACAATGCGATGATCTGCTCGGCCTGGATGCCTGTAGAGTGAAGATAGCGTGCGAGACGGTTTGCCTGGGTGTTGAGCTCGCCATAGGTGATCTTTCGCTCCTCACAAACCACGGCGACCTTGCCTTCGTGGCGTTCCGCCTCCTCTTCAATCAGATGATGCAGTCGCTTGCATGTTGGATACTCGCCGTCCGTGTTATTCCATTCCTCCAGCTGCTGCTGTTGCTCTAACGACAGGAGTTCGATGTCGGTAACTAGCGTCGCTCCTCCTGTCGCTGCCTTAGCGATCAAGATGTTAAGGGCATCTGTGAAATTACATATTGTCCCCTCATCGAAAAGACAGTCGGAAAAGCGCAGTGTGAGCTGGAGTCCAGCTTCACTCTCATCCACCATAACTGCCAGGGGGAAATCAAATAACAGAAGATGAGCATCGTCTGCCTTGGCGAAGACGACAAGTAAGTCAAACAACCCCAAATTCACGAGACTTGACGCTTTGTCGACTGTGTGTGTGGACAGCTTCTTCGCACTGCGCACCGCTTCAATGCTTTCAATCGCCTGCGCAACGGAGCATTCGTCTCTGTTCTCATGGCTGACGAATATGGGCGACACCGCCCACGATGGCCGAGAATCCTGGGAGTTCCCCTCGAGGTGCAGAGAGGCGGTAATGGTTTGTGATCCATTACCAAACCCTTTCAGCATCTGATGGATTGCAAAAAGAATGACGGATCTCACGCTGACACGGCGTTCAACACACAGCTCTTGTAACGCGGAGTATACCTCGCCAGGGACCGCCATGAACCTCTGCCTGTAGACGGTGCTCGCGTCCCCAAATCCCGTTGATGCAAGCTGATATCTCGTGGGATCGGTTGCTAGACCGCTCACATCGCAGCGCTCGGTGATCTGGTTCACCGAATCCTTCCATCGTTCGATACCTCCGGGAAAGCGGATGTGGATACTGCTTCCCATTGCATTCTCATTGCGAGGGTTGATGTCGCCATTGCTGGGTTTGGCCATGCTATTGTCAACGCTCACACCTCCATTGGCTCTGGAGTCCGTGGTACTCGAAATGATTATCGACCCTGAACCGGTTTCGTGCGTCATAACAACTATTAGTCTCTGGGAGCGCGAGAACGATGGCCGTTGACAAGGGCAATGCTACAATAGTAGTTAAAAAAAGACGCCATAACAAACAATTAGACACCATGGGGGAAATAATTTATATTGGGCTGGCTACGTTCATCTCTCGCTACGCAGGTATTTTCTCTACTTGGTCCATTTCCAACAAAAAAACACTTGTGCTACTTTAGACGTCTCCCCTCCCAACCCAAGACAGGGTGGAGATGCCGGTCCACGGTAGACCAAATGCCATTTGCTCCTTCGCCGTCAAGTATCTCCACGTCGCAGCGGAAGATCGCCCCACAGATTTAATCCACAGGAACAGCCCCGCGCCGTCATGCTACAAGGGGTGGACTGCACAGTCCAGACCACGGCTGATTCTGATTGCAGGAAGTGCAAAGAATGAGACGGGTCCATGTCTTGCTCCAATGGGTCAAGATGGTGCCGCCATGTGAATGTGTGCTGCTGCACCCTGGAGCATAGGCATCGTTGGTATATCTGTCTTTCGCCTTTGAGGCTTGGCAGATCCACCAGGTGTAAGGACTCAGCCGTATTACTCGAACATCCCCGGCCCCGTTTCTATTACGGCACCTGTGTTCTTGCAGCTAAGGGTGGGGGGTAAGGGGGAAGGGGACGCCTCTTGCATAATAACAGATGTCGCGATGCAGATTGGTCAAGCATCCAGATCTGTAAGCACTCTCTGACGATTGACCTCGTTATCCGGCTAACAGTTCATGTTGGCCCCCGCAGAACCATCGCGCAATGAAACCTTAGGGCTAATAGATATGGTCTTGAGGTGGCCACAGCGTAAAACCCCTTCTGTGGCCCTTTCAGACGTAGAGAAAGAGGTGACCTTCTTTACGATTGTGCTCGTCACTCGTTGTCCTCTGAGAGAAATCTGACCTCCATTTCCCCTCGCTATACCTCTCTTCGTGGCCGCTTATAATCATTGGAATCCTACCGTATTTTTTTTTCTGCACACCATGGCTTCCACCCCCAAAGCCAATGTCCCCAAGATTGATGTGTCGCCCTTGTTTGGCAACAATCTAGAGGAGAAAATGAGGGTCGCGCGCGCAATTGACGCTGCCTCGCGCGACACCGGCTTCTTCTATGCGGTCAACCATGGAATCGATGTGAATCGACTCTCGCAGAAGACCAAGGAGTTCCACATGTCCATCACAGATGATGAGAAATGGGACCTCGCTATTCGCGCCTACAACAAGGCGCACCAGGACCAGATCCGGGCTGGGTACTACTTGTCTGTCCCAGGCAAAAAGGCTGTGGAATCCTTCTGCTATCTAAACCCTAACTTCAAGAGCGACCACCCTCGCATCCAATCGAAGACGCCTACTCATGAGGTCAACGTGTGGCCCGACGAGACGAAGCATCCGGGCTTCCGCGACTTCGCTGAGCAGTACTACTGGGATGTGTTCGGACTCTCAACGGCATTGCTGCGAGGCTATGCTCTGGCACTGGGCAAGGAGGAGGACTTCTTTAGCCGCCACTTCAAGAAGGACGACGCGCTCTCCTCGGTCGTTCTCATCCGCTACCCATTCCTAGACCCTTACCCACCAGCTGCGATCAAGACAGCCGCGGATGGGACCAAATTAAGTTTTGAATGGCATGAGGATGTATCGCTCATCACCGTCCTGTACCAGTCCAACGTGCAAAACCTACAAGTGGAGACCCCTCAGGGATACCTTGACATTGAGGCGGACGACACCGGCTACCTGATCAACTGCGGCAGCTACATGGCACACATCACCAATAACTACTATCCCGCCCCCATACACCGGGTCAAATGGGTGAACGAGGAGCGCCAATCTCTTCCATTTTTTGTCAACTTGGGCTTTGACGAGACGGTCCAGCCGTGGGACCCTTGTAACCCCGACGGCAAGACCGACAAGGAGCCAATCTCCTACGGCCAGTATCTGCAGAATGGCCTAGTTAGTCTGATTAACAAGAACGGTCAGACCTAAGACGAGAAGTAGCCGAAGGTACCAAGTGAATACATTAATGCAACAATGTCCACATCTTTCGTATTCGTCGAATATAGTTTATGCCGCGGCCGATCGCTCCATCCAGTAAAAGACCAATTCCACTTAGAAAGGCCAACCTGTCCTTCTTGTCTTGTCAAAATGAGGTCGCCAATGGGTTACCTAAGACAATGCTTTCTTCAGCTCCAATTTGCCGAAGCCATCACCTTGGCATTTGCCACTGCGTGCTTCACCATGACTTTTTTTGTTTGTTTTTTTTTTTTTTTTTCTTGGCTAAACATGCCACCGCAGGTGCCGAGATGTTAGGTTTCGAATAAGAGAACCAGGGCGATTTCGAGAGCTCCTGATTGGTGTTGAGGGTTGCCAAAATGCGACCCTAATCGAGAAAAGTCTGCAGAACGCGGAATATATGGATTTATTTAAATTGAATACTAACTAGTAGTGGATACCTCGTGTTGAGCTCCACTTGGGTCCGGACAAACAAAGGCCATTTTAGCCTACCGATCTATCAAAGGCTATCTTAGGCAAAGCCCCATTCAAGTATACTGGGCACCCTCATGCTACAACATTGGGCCTTGAGTTGTAGTAAGGTGGACCGACAAAACAAATTAATATGTCTCAACGCGCATTTCCACCGCGATAATCAAACTCAAGCGCTACGTTTTTCATCTTTTTCTGTCCAACTACGGCCCACACCCAAGATGCTTCAGGTTACTTGCCAAGGCACCCCTTTCGAGGTAGGTCTTTTGCTGAACGTGGCAACTCTTCATGGAATCAGCTAAGTTCTGATCCGGTTCAGATTGGGTACCAACATGGCTCGACCGGCAAAGCTGTGATCGCCAAATCCATTAACTTCGCCGTCGGTCTCATCCGAGGGAAAACCAAGAAGACGGAAGACGAGCTTAAGCAGATTCTCGCGGAGCTGGGAAGCGTGATTGAGAAAAGATGGCCCAGATATTACGAGGAGATTCGCGGTGAGTGCCGCTTCTGTCTTCTTACCTTCTCTATCATGCTGACGGGGACTCGTGAAAACCAAAGGTATCGCAAAAGGCGCCGAACGCGATGTCTCCGAGATTGTCATGCTCAATACCCGCACAGAATTTGCGTATGGCCTTGTCGAAGCCCGTGATGGCTGTACCACCGTCTATTGTAAACTTCCCAATGGGGCACTACAGGGCCAGAACTGGGATGTACGTCAAGACATTGCTCCTTCTCAATCCCATCTTGTCGAATCGGCCGCTGACATTTGCATTTCCATTCTCTCCTGAGTTCTAGTTCTTTTCCGCCACCAAAGAGAATCTGATCCAGTTGACCATCCGTCAGCCCGGCCTGCCCACCATCAAGATGATCACCGAAGCTGGAATTATCGGCAAGGTTGGATTTAACAGTGCGGGAGTTGCCGTCAACTATAATGCTCTTCACCTTCAAGGTCTTCGGCCCACTGGACTTCCTTCGCATCTTGCCCTCCGCATGGCGCTTGAGAGCACGTCCCCCTCCCAGGCCTATGACCGGATAGTGGAGCAAGGTGGAATGGCTGCCAGCGCCTTCATCATGGTGGGCAACGGGCAGGAAGCATACGGGCTGGAATTCTCCCCAATCAGCCTCCGAAAGCAGGTGCTCGACGCGAAGGGCAGGCTAGTGCACACCAACCACTGCTTGCTCAGCCACGGCGAAAATGCGAAAGAACTCGACCCTTTACCGGACTCGTGGAGTCGCCATCAGCGGATGGAAAATCTTCTCGACGGGTTCGATGGTACCAAAGAGGCATTTTCCCGTCTCTGGGAGGATGAAGACAACTACCCTTTTAGCATATGTCGAGCATACGAGGAAGGTAAAAGCAGGGGCGCCACTTTGTTCAACATCATGTACGATCATGCCCGCCGAGAGGCGACTGTGCGTTTTGGCCGGCCGAAGAACCCGGATGAGACGTTTGTCTTGCGGTTCGACGATGAGGACAAAAGGTCTGCGCTCAATGCTAAACTCTGAAGGGCCTCTTTTGACTGACCCCCATTTGGCAGTGCTGTATCCTGAACACTCTGCATATAGCTCAATCTGACCATTTGTAGTATATAGAACGATGAAGAAAAGCTTCAAAAAATAAGTTATTGGGGTACTGGACACATATCTTCTATCACTGCCTAATCATTATATATAAGAACCGTTCATTTTGAATCAAATAATCTTATGCCTAAAGTGCTAGGTCCAGGGCAGGAATGAAGAAATAAAAGAAACCTGCACAAGGACTGTGATGATCGACATGACGATGAAGAGCATAATCCGGGTTACGAAACGTTGGGTATCTTTTCCATTTTGTACGAAAGAATTGCAAGCGTAGAAGAAGTGCCATCATCTGCCATAGGAGAGCATAAATGCCTACAACATACATGTACATACCTACTTTGATGAGATTGTGCCACGACGGGAGGCGACGTTATCCTGAAGTCATGTACAGATAGTACTGCAATCTTACCCGATGGCAACCGGTCAAAAGGCCTAAAGTGACAAGGCTCCAGGCAAGTGCAAAGCTATCGGGACATACTTCCTGACCTTTAAGGTGTGGTTCATGATCCTGTATGGGGGACTGACATTATTGGCGAAAGAGCGCATGGGGAAATGTATTGGAGTAATTGGGTCAATCAGATTCCAGAACCCCCAATTGGCTATATGAATATTTTGCTTGACAACATCCGATGGTAGCCTTTCCTCTTCTGCCGCTTACGCTTCCCCACATTTTGGTTCCATTATTGTGCTATAAGCGTAGCTTTATGTTCTGTATATTGTATTGTTCTTGTTTTATGATATGCTATTCACGATGATGCCCGTGGTTCAAGCTATCATAACGTTTCTTCAGAATCCCTTTCTTTGGTACGGCCTTGGTATAAGGTATTAGTGCTCGACATTGCCTCACAGATCCCCGCGGTTCCGTAAATAGAGGAGATGAAGGAGGGTCTGTACTGGTGAAGGTCATGGACGGAATACAGGAATCGCTTATTGATGCTATGATTTCACCAAGTATGCCACGATCTAATAGGTACATACACCAAGCAGAACCAGAATGAGTTGTGAAGCCTGCCCCATATTGCTAATAGTTACAATGGCTAAAGATCACTATATGCACTCACGCTGCTCTAGGTACCCGACTCCCCAGCTTTAGAGATTCCTTGACCATGGTAACTTTGGGTACTCGAGTTGCAATTTTGTTGAGTTATCATCTATAACATGTGGCATCTTCCCTCTGCCGGTTGGGGCAACCCAACACCTTCCTCATCCTATCACCTGACGTGTCTGCAAATACAGAGCTACGGTCCCTAAGTGATGAATTGACTTCAGACATTGGCGTCTAGGCAGTTCCACACCTATAGTTGACGTATGTTTGTGCCCAATCCAGACATATCTTTTACTCTATTTTGACGTATGCTCGGGTATAAGTTCCATGGCCGGATCATACCCTGCAAACATGAGACGCAAACGTTCAGAAAACAGTGGCTATATATACCAGTCAAAATATCCTCTATTCTAGCCAATTATTCTTTATCTAAGTCCTCTCAAATCTTCATAATAAACAAGATCAAAATCAACAGCAGATATCTCCATTCAAGCTCAATCGTCATGTCTTCTCTTGGAAGCACCGATCTTGCCGGTCTGACCACCGATGACAAGAACCTGTACCTTTTCTACCAAAGATCTGGCTACATTGTCGAGGCCTTCTCTGAGGAAGGTGGCCCTCCCACGCAGACATCTGTGCAAGTCGCGGCAGACGCGCAGAGTGGCGGCTCCCCTTTGACTGCCTACTTCGTCAAAGAGGACATGAACTATGACAAACATTCCACGGTATGAATACACCAGAGTATTGAAAATTGCAGTCCTACTAACAACAACCCCTAGATCCACATGATCTATCTCAACAAAGAAGGACACTTGGTTGAAAAGGTCAGACGGGTTTCTTCGGACAAGTGGGAAGACGCGCCCAAGCCTCCGGGCCATGCCGCAGAAAACTCACGGATCACCAGTGGTGTATCCCAGAGGGGCTTCGAGCGGGAAAGCTCCCAGGGAACCCAGTTGGTGTTCTTCGTAAGGTGCGAATTATACCATAGACTATCCATCATGTTACCAGTACTGATGGAGTAACAGCCGTGAGGAGCATGGGAAGTCACCCATTACTGAACTTCGCCGGGACAATAAGGGTAACTTCCACCTGGAGCACGTACTTTCGGACGAGCCCCTCTCGCTTCCTGGAACGCACCTCGCATGCATTGTTACTCGGGAGAACGTGGACCTGTATCACCAGGATCATGACAAGAATATCAAGTGGTGGAGGTATGAGGCCGAACGCAGGCGCTGGGAGAGTAAGTTGATACCTCCCCAAACCCCCTTATTTCTAGCAAGGCTGACCCTCTGTCCCTTATCTAGACAAGGGAAAAGTGCTTGAGGGCAGCAGAGTCATGGTCAGGACTCCGTTGGCTTCTGTACACTACGAAGGCAAGAACCACATTCTCTACGCCGATGATCAGATGAGACTGCGGGACTACGTCGACGGCAAAACTATTGATGTTGTCCGGAGAGTCTATGGGGACGCTGGAATCAATGCCATGGTGTATCGCAACAAGATCATCTTGTTCTACAAGATGGTCGAACCCGAGGGAGCGATCGGCACTGCGTCCTTCACGGAGGGCAAGTGGAAGGAAGAGGGTATTTTCATCAAGCCCTGACGGTCGGAAGAGGATATTTCCACCCACGAAATTCGTCATGCCTCCTTGATTTTGCTTGCTTTGCTTTGCTTTTTTGGCTTTGCTTCCTTGACCTTCTTAGTGGCGTTATACTAATGCTTTTGGACGGTTAACTCTGTTGCGCCTTTGCTTTTGCTTCGTCGTAAAGCTGCTCACAGATTGGAAAAACTTTAGGTGTTGAATTCTACTCATTCTTTGATCTCTATCTCTATATCACTGCAAGATATGTGCGTATAGACTAGTTCTTTGTCGGAAAGGGGACGTGTAGAGAAAATCCTCACTATTCACCCACCTGGGGTCAAGACGGAGAGGATATTCACTTTGTTGGTTGACAGGAAGAGCTGTGGAAACACAACAGGGCGCATGAACTGGCCTGGACTCCGGTAAAACACAAGTTAGCTTACTTGCAAAGTTCTCTATGGAACAGCTTATCGATCTTCTTTCTTCTCTTTTCTGTATCTATAGATCACTCACATCTGCCAAATTGGAGTCAGGGAGCAATGCAACCCATAGCTCGATCCAGGCAGAAAATGTAATGATCATCTTACAGAACGCAGATAAGCCCTTTGCTGGTTCCAGTGAGGAATCCAAACCCCCAAAAAAGTGCAAGACGTCTCAAAACCAAGAGTTCCGCATCTTAGTTTCTGCAAGCCACCTCACCTTTGTGTCGTCAGTCTTCAAAAGCGCCCTTGATGGAACTTGGAAGGAGGGCATTACACTCCGCACTGCAGGCTCAGTCAATATCACTGCGGACGGTTGGGATCTCGAGGCCTTTCTAATTCTGTTGAGAATCTGTCACTGCAAGCACCACCAAGTTCCTCGAACGGTTAGCCTTGAATTACTTGCAAAGATCACTATTTTGGTGGATTATTATCAGTGCTTCGATGTCCTGCAATTTTTCGCGGATACGTGGATTGAATGCTTAGAGCAGGACTTTCCAACACAATACTCGAGAGACTTGCTGTTATGGGTGTGGATATCTTGGGCTTTAAAGCTGCCTGCTCTCTTTAAACAGGCAACAAGGATCGCTATAAGCCAAGCCACGGATTCAATTCCGGCACTAGGTTTACCAATCCCACAGAAAATTATCGGTAAAACCAGTTGCGCCGCTGCTTGACAAATAGCTACTGATAGGCCCAATAGATAACATTAACAGAAAGAGAGAAGCGATATATCCGTATATATTTGCCACGCTAGATGACCTTCAAAAATCTCTCATTGCGGCAGAAAACGGTTGCTCTTCTGGATGCAGGCCAATTATGCTTGGTATTTTGATTCTACAGAGGCATTCGAATGGTTTACTCACACCAGATGACACAGCACCTCTTGTAAGTTTGTAGGTTGGTGACCTTATGACAAAAGTAGGTGAACTTAGTCCCCCAGCATGGCATCCAGGAGGGAATTACTTTTCTAACTGTCATGTGGATATCTTGTCTTGCATGATATCAGAACTGAAGCTAAGCCTCCGAGGTCTTGATCTTGAATACCAAACAACTTAAGGTCATTCAAGAGCGGGCTTGCCTTTCCTTTTCCGTTCCGGATGAGCAAACAACATTTATGAGTTTCCTTGACCTGACCGTTTACGTGATGCCGCATACCTATATGGCGTCATTGCGACCTGGTCCTTTATTTGAAATGCTTCTTTGTTTATTCTTCCCCTAAGTTTTTCTTTTCGGCTTGGAGTACGCTTTTCACACCATATCTACAAGCAGTAACAAAACAAGTGAATGCAGACAACTTAGGAGAGCTCACTATCACATTCAAGTACTTCAATAAGTAGAGAGCTTAGATGCAGTATGTCAGGGTGCATAGTTCAATTTCGTGCCAGTGGAAGTTACTTAGGCCAAATACAATCAGTCCCAAGAGTGCCTTCCTAGGATTATTCCTGTAGAGATCGACATGCCACCACAAAAAGGGTTCAGTCCAATCTATATTCGAATCGCAGTTACGATATTCAAGCCAGTCTCTGCTATGCTGCCTTAGACGTGAATCCAGCATATAGTATGAATGCTCTATTACGGTCCATCTGACCAAAGTTCCTTTTAAGTCACCAGGGCAACTGGTGAAGCGATGTAGTGAGATCCAAATACTAGCGAACACCCCCAGAGTATAATCGAATGTTTCATATGTCACGAGATGAATCGCACATGACCAATTTAACTAAATATACTAAGAACTCAAGGTTTATCCTTACTTCAACTCTCATCCAAGCACCAGTCCCTCCAAAGCTTAAATCGACTCAACCCATGGCATTTTGAATTCAGAGGATGCTTCAAAACCGAATACCTGCCTGGTTCACCCAAGTTACTGCCCAAGACTGCATTAAGCTTCGTCAAATCCGCTATATCCCCAATTTTATTTCACGGTGGCAATTGGGTAAACACATGGCACGAAAACAGAAAAATAGAAAAACAGAGAGAGACACAGAGAGAAAAGAACTTTTTTCCAATATCTAACTTGCACAACTCCTCACATTAGGGCAGGTCTCGACTTTCTCTCATCAAGTCTCATTTGCCCCCTGGCCCACTCTCTAAGTAAGCGAACAATTCCTTCGATCTGGCCCTCGGTATTGTCAGCATGGATGACAATTCGAATTCGATTTTTGTCCTTAGGCACCACGGGAAAGTTCATTGGGTTTACCCAATACTTGCCCTGATGTAAATGATGTGCCAATTCCTTCGCCTTCCCTGGCTGGGTCACGATTGCAGCTATGGGGGCTAGGAAGGGCTCCGATCGCCAGGTCTTCTCGGTCGGAAGATAGAAAATACCCTTTTCTTTTGCATGCTTCCACTCAACGCTTGTCGTCAGTGTCTGGTAGAAGAACTGCAGGTTTTTCTGCAGTCGGCGTCGACGCTATGATATAGAGTTAGCCAGTTAGAGCCTGGTATAAAAGGTTAAACGAACCTTTTCTCCCTCCTCACTGGCTAACAAATCATAGCCAGCTTTCACGGCTAACACGGTAAGAAAGCTAGGAGCTGTGCTAAAAATGACGCTGCGGCCATAGTTGAGGAGCGCGAGTTTAATTGTTTCGTTGGCCAATAATACCGCTATTTTCTCTCGTTAGATTCCAGATACAAAGCACGACACGATGGTTCTTACCCCCTGTCGATCCTAGTCCTTTCCCGCAAGTCTGGAGTCGTAATCCAAAAACATCCTCCAGCCCATAATGACAGATGAACCCCGAGCCATTTGGTCCGACAACTCCATTGGAGTGCGCCTCATCGATTGAAAGCACATAATTGCCCCGCGGCAGAGTGTCACGGACAACATTCACTATCTCAAGAACTGGAGTTATGTCACCATCCACGCTGTAGAAAGATTCCAGTGATATAAAGACTACTTGTTTCCCTTCAGAAACAGCACGGTGCCCAGCTTGGATGCCCTTCAGGCAGTCTCGCAGAGATTCACAATCATTGTGTTGGAATGGGACAGTCGTGGCTCGTCCTCGTCTCATGCCGTCATGGATGCTTGCGTGTACAAATTCGTCGTAAACGACAAAGTCACCAGGCTGTGGGATTGCAGACCAAACGGCTACATTAGCATCATACCCCGAGTTAAAGAACATAGCCGACTCAGCACGGTGGAACTGAGCCAAGTCACGTTCAATGTTTTCTAGATACTGCTTGGTACCGTCTAAGATTCGTGACGAGGTGCTTCCGATAGTGAAGTTAGGGTGTTTCCGAAGCTCGCGCAAAAATGCCATCGATAGAGCACCAGAGGACGACAGAGAGAGGCTGTCATTAGAGCTAAAATCTGTCATTTTAGCCAGAGTAGCCGCAGAAGGAGGGTCAATAAGTCGACCCTCCTCACGACGGTTGTCCAGCGCAGCCTGGAGCTTATGGCAGAGAATATCGAGTCCCGCACTCATATTGTTGTCTTAATGATACCTGCTTCTATGTGTGCGATACTTTGCAGCCTGTCTACCTTTATATAGTAGTACTGGACTGCATCACAAGCAACAATCTTTCCGGTACATTTAACTTGATTGAAATCGTGAGTACTTCATAGCGTCACATCCTGCTGAGTCCTGGGACACCAACCTGATCGTGTCATATCTTTCGTGGCAAATCTCACTGAAGGCCCCATCACGTGTGCCATTGAGGCATGTCGGTGACCTGATAGGTTCAAGTTTTTCTTGTATCGGAGTAACGGCACCAGATGACTGTACTCACGGGCCCGTGCCCTCAACACGCAATCCTGTTGTCAATATCCAAGATCCTAGCAGGTTTTTCAAGCATCCCTGAAAGTGCTTGAAGTCTAGACGTTAATTGCTCATGTGGCTATCCAGTGATCGTAGGGAATGGTGCTCTCTATGTGACATGGCGAACCCACCATGCAGCTCTCGGAACTCAATATAAGTATTTGAGGAGACAACAGACAAATCAGCTCTCACACTAAACGAATCACCCCCACAATTCTTCACCCCCCCCTGTTTATTGTGAATGTACATCCAGGAATAAACTGTATAACATCATAATAGGGTCATAAAGCCACATTCACTGCATTGTGGTATGAGAGCTATTACTGATGGATCCAAGAGAAGGAATACTAGATCAGCAAAGATATGTTTGGGTCCTAGGCTTGGATCAGCCTGCTCAAGATCAAGCAAGGACTGAGAATTACGCACGACCTAGCTCTACTCATTTCCAGTCGCACTACAAGACTTAGGTCATATGCCTCATTTTCCTACACTCCCAACAAGTGTGCCCCCCTAAAGTGTTGTAAGTCCAAGACTATGAGGCTTGATTAGTCTAGATAACCACAGCAAACTTCAATATGATAAGTGTGGAAAACTCAAAGTCGCCTGGCCACCACATTGGGCAGGAATAGTGACACCATCAGAAGTTGAATCAAGAAAACGAGCAATAATAACAAGAAGCCGGTAGGGTAGCCTTGCTTCGTCATTTTATCTTACGGCATAGTGAGTCATATCAGCCATGAGGCGCTGGATGAGGCGCGAGCATTAAACTATCAGTTATCAAATGTACTTTGTGTAAGTGCATTGCCAACTCAGGTACGTTGTATCATCTAGTTGCAAGGTCAGTAAAGCTCAGCAAATTCTCATTCAACTTTACTTTCTATCTTACAGCCTTGCAATGATGGAACAAATTATTTATGATCATGCTCAGCGAACCCCCGGTGCAACCGCCATTATTGATGGAGCATCAACCCTCACGTACGGTGAACTGGTTGCTGAGTCTAAAACTTTAGCTCAGACACTGATGGAAGAACTTGAGATAGCCATAGAGGAGCCAGTTGGAATTCTACTCGATCCAGGGAGGTTACAAGTCGTTGCTCAACTTGCTGTCCTTCTGGCTGGGGGCACCTGCGTACCGATTGAGCCGTCCTTTCCAGAAGACCGCATCACGTCCATGTTACAAGATGTCCAAGCTAAGCATCTCATTATGGACATTCCTGGAAGCCGGACGCTTCATGGATTCAATCATATCTACATCAGTCATATCAAAAAGTGCTCTAACTCTGTCGTTACCGATTCAAAGGTTGGCCCTCAGGTCAACCGGAGCCACATACTCTTTACATCTGGATCAACTGGGAAACCGAAGCCGGTACAGGTCCAAGCAAGTAGCATCTTGCACCTTGCCACAAAGACTCCAGTGACACCACTTTCTCCAGAGGACCGAGTGGCAGAATTCAATAGTCCTGGCTTCGACCTCAGCTTATTCGAGATCTGGATCACCCTGATTGCTGGTGCAACCATTGTGGTCACTCCCCGTCATGCGGCCACCGACCCGAATGCTCTCCCTGCGTTCCTTAGGGAGCAGAACGTAACTATCATCATTATCACTGCGGCACTATTTGAGACTATTGTTTTCACTTCCCCTGGGGCCTTTGAATCGTTACATCATGTTCTCACAGCGGGCGACGTCGCCAATACGCGGGCGATGAAGAACGTACTAGAAACAGGCCCTCCTCGCCATCTGTGGAATACATACGGACCTACCGAATGCACGACACTGACAACTATGTTTGAGGTGACACTTGAAGAAACCCACCGTGAACGGATCAGCATTGGACAGCCCGTGGGGGATATGGAAATCATCCTACTAGACGAAGATAAGAAGCCTATTGTTGACTGCGGAAGACGCGGGGAGATTTGCATTGGAGGCCCTCAACAATCCACTGGGTATTTGGCTCGGCCATCGGAGACTGAAAACTCCTTCATACATTTACGTAAACAGGATCTCGGGATCCCGAGAGATAATGATGATGATCTTATACGTCTCTATCGGACTGGAGACATAGGTGCATGGCAGTCTGAATCCCGTTGCCTCGACTTTCTGGGCAGGTCAGATACGCAGATCAAGTTCCGCGGATTTCGAGTAGAACTAGGAGAGATTGAATGCATCCTTCAGTCTCACGAGGAAGTTCAGGCAGCGGTCGTTGCTCGACAGCCCCCATTAACAACTGATGCAATGGAAGCATTGGTGGCCTTCATTATTCCGAAGGACTCGGACTCTGTACATCCAGAGGCCTTGAGGGACTGGGCTCGTAAACGACTTCCACAATACATGATACCCAGTGCTATGAGTTTCATGGAGAAGTTTCCTTTGACAGCAAACGGAAAGGTGGACCGCAGGGCGCTGATAGATGGCCGGCTTAAGATGCTCGAGGAACAGAAACCCCTTCAAAATGGCACTGAAGAGAAACAAGGCAAGAAAGCAATTCTTTCTGACCTGTGCAAAGATATTCTGAACATATCACAAATTCACGAACATGATGATCTATTCGATCTAGGAGCCACGTCACTCCAAGCCGCGACGCTTCTTGCGTTGATCCAAGATCATCTAGGATGCATGGTTACGATGGAAGACCTTTACAGTCATTCTAAATTATCAAGTCTATCACGGCTGATCGAACTCATGGAGTCTGGGGTCTCATGCAATGCACCTGATAACACACGGCTGTGGTTAGAAGACGTAAGTCGAGTCGATGATATTGAACTAATTCCCCACTGGGAATCCGAAGATGAGGGAAGGGTGTTTATCACAGGGGTGACCGGCTTCGTCGGGGCGCACTTTCTTCACCATTTACTATGCAGATCATCGGTCAAGCAGGTCGCTTGCCTGGCTCGCTCGAAGCAGAATGTGAGTGCAGCCACCCGGATTCGACGAGCCCTGGAACGCTACGACTTGTGGGCAGATTGCGCGGAACACGAGCAAAAGCTTATAGTTCTTGACGGTGATCTGTTCGAGAGCACTCTAGCCTTAGGAACAGAGCGCTTCACATGGCTAGCCAATTGGGCATCTATAATCTTCCATATCGGGGCTAAAGTGAATTTCTGTGAATCGTACCGCGAACACCACGGACCCAACGTAATCGGCACCTATAACGCGCTCCGCCTGGCCGCTGCAGGTCGTCGCAAAGCCTTCCATTACTTTTCCTCTATCGACGCTTGGGGACCAACCGGCTTCATCCTGGGAACCAAGGAGCTCTACGAAGATGAACCCTTGATGCCACACAGCCAAGCCGTACGGTATGACCTAGGGTACTCAGGCAGCCAATGGACAGCTGAATCGATGGTACGTCGCATGCGTGACCGAGGTTTACCCACCGTCATCTACCGGCCGGGGTTCATCATCGGCGAGAGCGTCACTGGACATAGCAATCCAGACGACTTTATGTCCCGGTTTATAGTCGGTTGCATCCAACTGGGCACATTTCCTAGACTGGACCAACGGCTAGAATATGTGACACTCGACTATGTGATCTCCGCTGCGATGCACATCGCCTCGTCCAATGAGAACCTAGGACGATCTTACAGCCTTCTATCCCCGGATCAATCAAAATCAGTCACTGTTATAGATACCTGCCGCGTTATCAACGAGGCAGGGTACCCAGTGAAGATAGTCGACTACAATGACTGGGTCGAGCAGGTCTTCGCAAAGCAACGACCGGATGGACCCCTGGCGTCTCTGTTACCGATGTTCCGGGAGCGTGTGCTCGGACGATTGACCCGTTGGGAAGTTAGTCAGTATACCCCGTATTATCGATCAGATAATACGGTCGAGGCATTGAAGGATCGGCCTGATATCCAGTATCAACCCTTGGATGCTCCGTTGCTGAAGAAGTACATCTCATTCTGGAACCGGAAGGGATTCTATAAGGTGTGAAACCAGTTTAGGTATGAAATTCACTCATCCTTCTCATTGATACACTACTGCAAAGGTTCGTCTACATTTATATCAGAATGGAGTACTATCAATTGTCAACGGAGCTTCCCTTTGTTATTCACTCATTCTTTCCAAATTATATCACTCAACGAAAAGAAAAAGGAAACCCCGAAAAAGAAAAACGACATCAGATAAAATTGCCAAGTCCATGGAAGAAAGTCCATGCAAACACATCCCCAGAATGTACCTTGCACATTAATCCATGCTATTTCTTCGTCTCTACTTTTAGAATTCCCTGGTCAGGGAAAGTTAGTATAATAAATGGCCCTCATCCGACGCATCATCAGTAAAAAACACTATTGGATCTTATCTGGTAGAGTCAACGTCTTGGTGAATTTACATTTACTCACGTAGTCGAGTGAGCGTGCCCCAGACACAAAGATAGCTTGCGTTCTCTATAATTTTACTGTTTGTGTATGCTTCTCTACTAACTCGAGTTGGCAAGAATCCTCCAGAAGGGTTAAAAACACGGAGTTCAGACAGTCTTGTGGTGGTGAGCGGGGGAGTATAATAACTGACATTCCTACCATTTCATTATAGTGGGGTTTTCTTTTTCTTTTTTTTTTTTTTTTTTTTTTGTTCGAACGTTAAGGCCTGCTATCAGATGGGGAGGTTCACACAGCCGAATCTATATCTAGGTTGAGTAGACTGTGTTAAGGAATTTAGTATTCATTTTCCAGCTATTAATTCACTTTTGTATCCTAGATGGTGAAAGACAAAGCACCTTCGAACTGGGACAATCATTGTGAATGTAGTGAGACAAGGTCTCTGTTTCATTGTCTAGCGCTTGAAATTGGCCATACGATCTCATGAAATCCGAGAGTAAGCATTATTAACTATCCATCAGGGGAAAAGATATGTTATGTGTGGCGATCGGCCTCTATAACTGACCGATCGTCCCGAAAATTCAACATCCACGTTAACAAGGGGTAGATGAACGAGAAAAGAATCTATAAACTCGACTTCCCTCGCGTTTCGTAGGGAATAAGCAACACCAAGAACCCTGCAACTAAGAACAACACTCCACTCACGTACACCGGGCTCGTCGTCTGTACGGTAGCGAAGATCGCGATAATGGGGGCCAGAATGCCTCCCACGCGATTCGCGGCACTAACCAATGCATTGCCCGTCCCGCGGTCTTTGGTTTCGAACATCTCCGGGGTGTATGCGTACAGCACGGCGTACAGCAGACTACTGGTGAAGCTGTAGGCGCAATTCCAGCCGAGAAGTGCTTCCGAGGTTGACGCCGTCGTCGACGCCAGGAGAAACGTCCCGGTCGCGATGGCAGCGAAAGTGAGGGTTCCCTTCCGGCCCAGGCGGGGGAGTTCAACCATAGCGCCACCGACAAGACTACCGGGAACGCCGACAGCCGCGATGATGAGAGAGTTGCGGTAGGTGGTGTAGGTGGAGCCGTCGCCAAATTGGACGCCCCGGGTTTGTTGGAGGTAAGGCAGGAAGGCATTATAGAGGGGGAAGCCGAGTCCAATGAGAGTCCAGATCAAGATCATCAAGCCGGTAGACCAGGCACGCAGCGGTGTGTTAAAGAGTGCTCTGACGTGCGAAAAGCTGAGGGGTTCCATCAGCATGCGCATCTGATCCGACGTGCTGAGACCCTGGCGCGGGACATGCTGCTCGTCTTCGAGGGTTATTAGTTCATCCAGACTTTCTAGTGACAGATCCGACGTTTTTCCGTTGCGGCGAGCAACCTCATGGACTACAGTCACAGCTTCGTGATTGCGACCCTTGCCCATGAGGTACTTCGGGGACTCGTAAAGTGTGAAGAAGAGGCAGCGGACGATACACATGAGAAGGGCCAGCCCGCCCATGGTGATGAGGAAATACCGCCAACCCATGTTGTTGTCCCTGGTGCAAGTTTCTGCCGACGCACAGGTCAGATTGCCCAGTAGCGGCCATGCAATCAAGTTTGCCAGCAGCTGTGCCAGGGCCCAGTTAACGGACAAGACGGTCAGCAAGTATTGATGTGATCCCGGCAAGAACTCGAGAAAAATGGCCGAGTCCACCGGCAAGTTTCCACCCACGCCGACCGACCATAAAGCCGCAAAGACGCCAACCGCCGCGAATGTAGGTGACCCGGCAGCTGCCAGGCCAAAGACGGCGGTGATGCCGATTGTAAGATTGAAGGCCCATCGTCGGCCGAAAAAGTCGCAGCTGAAACCCCAGAAGAGCGCCCCGATCAACAGTCCGATATTCTGGGCGAGAGTCAACAGAGGCGGTTGAGCGACGTCAAATTCGTAAGATATAGGCACGAGGATGAGTGAGGTGACAATCGGCCACAAATTATCACTGGCCCAACCAAACCCGATGACGGCGAACAGCTGCCACTGGTATCGGCCCATTCCGATATCCTGAAGGGCTTGGTTCAGTACATCGGCGTTGGCTCGGTAAATGGACGTCGCAGCGCCATCGTACGACGGTGGCCGCGGCGAAGAGGGAGGGTCGGGTTCGTCGGCTTTGGGCGTAGAGTCGTCCATGGTGGGGAGGGGTGTATAGTCTATCATCGATCTCTAAAAGTCGAATGAGTAAGGCAAGTCACTCGGGCAAGCAATCGCCCTTACACGGGCGAGTACATGGAGGTGAGAGGAAGGGAGGATAATGCTGGGTACAACGGGGGTTCTATCTACAAAAGTAAAATGCACGACTCACGTTATTTTGAAGACGCATCTTGGTGGGTGTGGTATTAAATGACGGAATCAGCCGCTTCGATGGTATCATTCACAGTGGGATTGGATGCTACTCTTTCATCAGCCGGAGTTGCATTGCAATGGCAACCAGGAAATGAGGTGGACTACATCGGTGACGGTTTTAGTCAGACTTAAGGAGGGAACGAGAGCAATAGAGCACGTAGATGTTTTGATAGACTCCACATGGATCGAAGTCGCATTGAAGAAGGTACAAGAAGTACTCCGGACTAATGGATTAAAAGCAGCAACTAAGAAAAGAGAGTCGAGTTGACTTCATATCGTCCCCGCAAGAGGGAGGGAATCTCCACCGACCACACTTAATTAATAATTAATTAATTAATGGGACCCGCGACGGTGGCGGAAACGAGAGGCCGTGGCGGTGGATGATGTGGCTGTTGCGGCACTGCCTGAGGCAGCCCCCGCCAGGGCACTGTAGGGCGTGGCACCAGGGAAAAACGACGTGGGGATAGTCGGAATCGGGATCGAAGCGTCCGTTCCGAATGCGGTACTTAAATCATTTGACATGCTGCCTGCATCGGATCCCGTCGGAGCCGTGGTTTCAGTGATGGTTGTGCTATAAGAAGACGTTCCATCACCATCCTGCAGACAAAATCCGCTTCCAAAGCCATTCTCACAGCTGTAGGTCTGTTCATCGCCCGACTCCGTCCACAGTGCAAAGTCTTCAATAGTGATATCAGTACAAGGTGCCTTTTCAGCACATACAATCTTAATCGGCCCTCGTGCCGCACCGTCTTCCTCAGTACCCTTCCAGTTGCGCACTGTGATATTGTTCAGCTGCACACCGTCTCCTGATACGGTGCTCATGCTGCTCCATTCACCGTCAATGTCCAAGGAGTAGGCATTACCATGACCTACGACATCCCAGCCATTACTATTAGTATGCGGCTCTGCCGGTATGAGAAGGAGCGCAAAACATACCGATAAAGTTCTCCAATACCACGTTCGAGACACTTCCACTACCGCCGTTACTCTTAATCATGTACATCTGGTTAGATTTCCAGGTGTAGACGTTGCGGTACACCACGTCGCTGATATTGGTGTCCGCACCCAGCGATCCCATCGCACAACCTCCACTCCAGTTACAGTAGATATTCTCGATCAGAATGTTCTTCGCGGGACTCTGTAATTCTGTCAGTGATATAAGCTGTTGTGCGAAAGATACCGGGAAAACCAACCTTGACTGTGACACATTCATCCTTGTTCGTCACCTCCACCTAAACGCATATACCATTAGCCGCAGTTTCAAGGAAATCATCCAAAACAAGATGGACGAAGAAGCACCAAAGGGAAGAGAGAAATGAAGTAGGAAATAAGAACATACATCATGGACCCAAACATTCTCACTCCAAACATCAACCCCGTCCAAACCACCGGAGTCACCACCTCGGATAGCCATATTGTAGAGCTCTGCATTCTTACACGTATCCAAAGACAGATGGAAAGCTGGGGAGTCAACAAGCGCAACATCATGGACCGAGAAGTCTGTCACTTCATAGAACCGCAACAACCGGGGTCCGTCTAGACTTCCATCCTTGTGAAATTCGTATCCCAGTCCCTGAATCGCACCCTGGGATGTACTGCTGAAGAATTCAAAGTCCGATGAATGTTCGATCATGAACAGGTTGCCGCCGTCACTGCCAGTGCGGTAGATAATGCCGTCTAGCTGGATCGCGGAGGCTTTGCCCCCGGACAGCTTCAGCCTGGAAGACATAGCATAGTCGCCCGATGGGATGTAGACTACTCCGCCCTCGGCACAGTCGTCCCATGCCTTCTCAATGGCCGAGCCAATGTCGGTTTTCTTGTCGGCTTTGGCGCCGTAGTCTTGAACGTTACAGGTTTTGGTGCTCGCTTTGGAGCTAGAGGAGGTCAGGGGTCCGACATGGCCTGAGAGTTGGGCGTTGACCAGCAACGGGGAGAGGAGGGCGAGAGAGATAAGTGATAGAGAGTGCATTGTGATCATTTTTGGACTCTGTTTTGTTTGGTTCTTTGGCTCTGGTACGGCAAGACGGCCTTATTAGATGCGACACGGGTGCTCTCGACTTAAAATACCATTCCAGCCCCCTGTATGTACAGATATAATTCTACAAGGTCACGACTCCTGACAGCCCCATAGAGATCCTTAAAATCATGCAACGGGATATTAAACGGTGCAAGATCAGAGTAAGTGTTTGGAGCTTATCCCCTATTGTGGCGGATCATCTTTCGTCTGACATCGAGAACGCGAATTACTCGTTTATATGAAACAATAGGATGCGTTTGAGAATGCTTAGCTTTTAGTACATGATTCAGGGCAAAAGCAAAGGCTTTCAGAGGTGTAAAATATCACTGCCGATATTGATGCCGTTGGTGGATAAAGCAGGTGGATCCTCCACTGCAACTCTTAGGGTATCGGGGCGATGATCATGTCGGAGCTGACGCGCACGCGGCTGTTCGTCGTGTCAAATGGGCCGATCAGCGGGATTTTGGCACAGTAAAATCGGACCCAGGACTAGATTAGATGCAGAGCCCATGAATCGTAAAGGGGTGGTCTCCATCAGTTAAATCTAGACATAGTACAGTGCCTCTGCTATGTATGTAGATTGAGTGGTGGATTCATCAGCGATCTGTAAGCGAGATTAAGCAACGGTTGGCTAACGATCTCTGTTCGCTCTCTAATTGAAAGGCTTGCAGAGAGACGTTCTTCTACTCCGTACGCATGTCTTCGGTATCGGTATCATCCAACCGTGAAATCATGGTTATCACAAACCCGTAGCACGAGCCAATTAGCCTTACCCTTTTTACCCACAACAATCTCACCAAGAAGGCTTGAGTCCCTTTACGTTTATCCCAAATTTGCAAAAGTACATGCCAATTTCTCGCATTCGAGCTGTTCCTAAGCTAAGCTACTCAGTTAGACTTAGACTGAGTCTTCACTGCTGGGGATGCCATGGTGTGTCCATTGCCTTCGGCAAATCATTGTATCTAATGAATATGCTACAAAAGTGAAAGTCTGCTATTACTGTTGCGTGAAGTACAAGTACATAAACCATTCAACATCCTCCTCTGAAAACATGGTTATGTTGTTGGACAAGACCGCAGGGCAATTACTTACGATTCTACCCAGCGAAGAACTATAAGCTTGAGCAGCATCTTTAGCTGGTCAGAAGTAGATAATATGACACGGGGATATGAGCTGTTTGAGGCATGCGAGGCACTCTATATCTGGGTATTTGGAACGATGTAATCTCATTTGAAGAGATCGGAAAGTCTCGCAGTGGGCAATAACTTGTTGGTGAGACTAAGGTCCCCCAAGCCCTTCTTTAACTGCTGAGATATGAGTGCAATGTTATACACCTCATAGAACACCTCTCCTGGGGAGTTGTGTATGCATATATGTCATGTTATCACTCAATCGAAGGTGAGGAGATGAACCTCGTCTGAGGATGCACGGTCATATTTCGTTGCAAATAAATAAACATATTTCATGAGTATAGCCTGTGCGTCATCAATCAAGATGGGTAAGTCAAACTCACCACACGTCAGGGTAACTGTTTATATTGCGGCTAGGAGATTCTGAAAAGTAGTGGGTGGCTCCTCTAGGTACGTCTTTCTCTTCTCATTGGCTTAGTGCGTGTACCTATGGTCCTTAGTATACATCACCTTTCAGCGAGTAGACATGCGCCAAAGGGTCGAGAGGATATACAAATCCAGGCAACAAACTGATTCCGCATAAGATTCCTATTTTATAGATACCTCCCCTTATTACTTACATTTGCAGATTATTCTTTCTCTTCAGTTTGACCTCTTTTCGTGGTTCCCGCAACCGTCGCCGATGCTCTCGGCCGAGTTGTTATGTCATCGGATAAGATTATCATATAGAAATCCAAGAGTGAACAGCAATGACTCACAAACTAAGCTGTAGAGGTAAAACTGGGGCATCTACCTAATCTGTACATAACTCTACAAAGATGGTAGGCGTCATAAGTCCAATGTCAATGATTATTTTAGGTAACGAACGGGTGGCAACGGATGTCTCCGAGTCCATAAAACTCTCCGGCAACCCTCACCCAGACATCAAACAGCTCACTGAACATCGACAAATCGAGTCATGGATAGTCCAAACGGAAGTTTAAGGCAACCCCAGCTCACAAAACATGATATGGGCTGGAGGAGGGTTGTTCGCAATTTCACCCCTTCGTAAGCCCTGAATTCTTTCCGCAGGGAGAACATTCTTGTTAAACCTTGGATACAGGTGGTTTTCAGTCACGATGGGCACGGGCATCGTGTCAATCCTACTAAATACCCTACCCTATAACGGCGAATGGCTCTACTGGATCTCTGTTGTGATCTTCGCCTTCAACATTCTTCTCTTCGCGATAGGATGTATCATCACCGTCCTCCGGTACTCGTTGTACCCGGAGATTTTCACTGTGATGATTACCCATCCGGTTCAGTCTATGTTCCTCGGGACATTTCCAATGGGCTTTGCCACTATCGTCAATATGTTTTGCTTCGTCTGCGTCCCAGCTTGGGGTGAATGGGCCAAGAACTGCGCCTGGGGAATGTGGATATTTGATGCCGTCCTCTCTGTCATTACCGCTCTCTCACTGCCATTTTTATTGTACGCTACATGTCCCCCTCCAAACAGCGAGTTGAGTTACACTAAATGCATCCTAGGATGGCCCATGGAGGCGAAACGCAACTCTCCTCCATGACTGCGGTTTGGCTCCTCCCCATTGTCAGCTGTGTCGTTGCCGGATCATCCGGCGGCATTGTGGCGGGTGTTCTCTCCAATCCGCAGCATGCGCTCTGGACTGTGATCGTTTCATATGTCCTGTGGGGAATTGGACTTCCACTGGCCATGATGGTCATGGTGATCTACCTACAGCGACTGACTCTGCATAAGATTCCGCCCAAGGCGGTGATCGTCAGCGTTTTCTTGCCTCTAGGCCCATTAAGCCAAGGCGGTTTTGGGTAAGGGCACTTCTCCCCAGCCGAGTACATGCAGATGGTAACGTTGGTAGGATTTTGAAACTGGGTAAAGCGGCGCAGACCATTTTCCCTCAAACGCACACACTTCAGGCATCATCGGGCGACGTCTTCTACACGGTAGGTTTCCTGATCGCTTTGATTCTCTGGGCCTTCGCACTTGTCTGGCTGTTCTTCGCTTTAGCATCCATTGTTCGATGCAAGAGCTTTCCATTCAACATCGGATGGTGGGGGTTCACCTTTCCCCTGGGCGTCTTCGCCACCTGTACCTGTGAAATGGGCACAGAGTTGCCGTCGGAGTTTTTTAAAATTCTCGGGACGGTATGATCTCAGTTACGCTTCTTGTCAGTGAATTTCGCACTAATATCTGGTAGATTGTCTCGCTTTGTGTGGTTGTGTTATGGGTTGTTGTGAGCGTTGGGACGCTCAAGGGAGTGGTATCCGGACAGTTATTTGTTGCGCCGTGTTTGGCGAACCTGAAAATCAAAGAGGAGGACAAAGACACGACTAAGGCTGCATAGTAGATCGATAGTGTACAGTGTATTTTTGTAGGATCGGTTGTAGTATTTATCTATTTATTTTTTTTATATATATTTATATATTGGGCACCCGATCGGAATAGGATGCGGGTTTAAGTTGTATACTACTGTGTACATGCAATTAGCGAAATTGGTGGACAGAAGAAAATATTTAGATAATATATATAATTTCATAAATCCTAATGCACATTTAAGTAAAAAAATAAAATTAAATTAGACTACTGGGGAAGATAAGATTGGGTTTTATTCATGTTACATTCTGGTTCTCAAATTGAAATCTTTTTATTTTAATTTATTTTTATTATTATTATTTTTTTATTGTAATTTTTAATTTTTAATTTTTGTGTGGGTGTAGGTGTGTTGCGGTAGTTGAAGGTTTCGAGGATCGTGGATAATGCCTTCAACCACCTTCAACCAAGCAAGAAAAAAGTCGAAAAAGAAATGCACAGTCGAACCGGACATTTTTGCTAATATAAGCTTAAATGAAAGATTCAGATCTTATAGGCGGAAAGGGTCTGTCAGTGATATAATATGGAGATGTATTCTGAATTGTTTTATTTTATTTTTACTATTTCAAGTATTTAATAAATAATAAAAAAAAAAGAAAAATAATAAAAAAAAATATTATTGATTTATTTTAATTTTGATTTTTAGCCCATAGGACCTTATTCTTTAGTGCAGACCACAACCCTTTTCTGCTTCCGGAAATCTTTTTGTTTCGAAAAGAGAGAAAGAAAAAAAAAAGAGAGAAATATTCATCTCGACCCTGACACACCTCTTCTGGCCGAGATATCGCGCATTCCCTCCGCCGCCCTCAACTGACACGCCTTTCGTATTTTTGTCGTGACGGCAGTCCATCGAGTGGTGTGGCTGAGCGATGAATGGCCAGCATGGCCATTCATCACGTGATGCGGAGGGAAGCTAAAAAAATAAAAAATAAAAAATGGAAATTCAAAATTCAAAAATCGAAAAAAATCGAAAAAAGGGCGAAAAAAGAACCACGCCGGTGATCTTGCGATCCCAAACAAATCATCCGCTTGGCTCTTCCCCAGATTCCAGTATAGCTGAACATTTCTATCGAGTTGACGTTGGAAGAATCCCATTTCTCCCTGGGGAATCATCGTGTGCTCGTCCTCTGTTCCTTTGACACCGTCGCAGGTGGTTCGGGCGCAGTGGGTTTTTCTCCCCTTGTATTATTTTTGGGGGGTAATTTTCT